GGGGTGAGATGTTAGGTAGGTATGTATTTAGTGTTTAAGTGCATTACCCTACATCTTTCGTGGAACAGCGTAAATTAGATATGACGCACTTGTACATAGATAATATCCGTAGTGTTTTAATTACGTGAAAAACGGGATGTGTTGTTAAATAAAGTTTCCATAATAAAATAGTTTAGCTTGTACATTCACACCTGTTTTGTGGGTTAGTTTTTTTAGATTTTAATCTTTGGGATGAGTTAGGATCGAGGGAAGGAATAAGAATAGATTAGGTGAAATTCCTCTTCAATTTCATTGAGCAGGGGGGGGGGGGGTATTAGGTATGAATAATGGATTTTATTTAGTCTTTAAGTGCATTGCCCTACACTTCCGGGAAACAGCGTAAATTAAATTTGACACACATGCACATGTACATAGATAATATCAGTAGTGTTTTAATTACGTAAAAACGTGATGTATTGTTAAATAAAGTTTCCTTAATAAAATAGTCAAGCTTGTACGTATGTACTTGCTTTGTTGGTTAGTTTTTGTAGATAAGGATAGAGGGAATGAATAATAATAGATTGGGAGAAATTCCTCTTCAGTTTCATGAAAGTTATTACATTATAGGAAAGGCCACCACCCCCCTCCTAAAAAGGAAAATATGTTTTAAGAATATATGGTATATAAATACATAAATAAACAGATATAATATACAAGTACGTATACTGTCAAACCTCTTTATAACACCGACCTTGGGGCGACTATAAAGTTGGCGGAACAGCTGGGCTGGCGGTTCAACGGATCGAGTCCCTCTAATTTATAGCCCCGACTACCCAACGCCAAGGATCTTGATTCTGCTGTGCGACCCGTATTTGGAAAGTGGCTTATTTATTAATTTTTTATATTTTTTTTTTTTTGGGGGGGGGGGGTTGGTGATATACATAATAGTATTTGCTATGCGACCTGTATTTGAAAAGTGTGGGGTTTTTTTTTTTGGTTGGTGATATACATGAACATGCACATGTATTTAGAGCAGATAGGCTTCTCTATCTCTATCTCTGTCATTCTCATGACAGGAAGATTACCAAGTAGCCAAGCAGTGAGTGCCATGCGTCGTGTGTAGTGTGTACCTTCGGCGGTCAATGCTGGCTGTACAGCGGGGCGAGTTTACTTTAGTTTAATAAGGACGGTACAACAAAAACAAAACAAAACAACCGCCCTCCACCCAAAGAATAATCCATAAATAAATAAA